TTTATATCAGTGATGATTCTATTTTACGTCATGACGTATAAGATTCCATACACATATTTGGAATGTCAGATTTTTGTACTGCTATGAACTCAAGTTTATTGTAGTTCTCATTGTGGTCCAACAACAGAAATGAAATCAGTCAATTAGAGATTGTGTCCTGTCACATCACGTGATCAACTGCTCAATTCACATACCGTATCTGTTATCAATGCTGCGAATATATACTGTATTATCCTGGAGGGCGTCATTACAATCTACCATTGTTATCTCCAACATTATCTTTCTGAAGGTCAACATGCTGCTTTCTAGATCACTTCTCTCAAATGCCTTCAAGCGTGAAATATTATCATGGCACCTTTAAATTATCTTTTGTTGCAGTAAAAAAAGATGATTCCTTGAGTCTCACAGGATTTTGTGTTCTCCCGACCTTTGTCTTGAATTACAAGATTGTCTAGATCCAGAAAGGGAATTTCATTTTCAAAGAAGCAGATGACTCTTAGGTAATGATTTGAAACAAAAGTTGGCAGTAATAAATCAGGTCAACAATTGGATTAATTATTCCATTATTGATTAGCTTTGATGAATGCATTGTGAAATTCAACAAAACTAGCTTTTGAGCATTGTTTTCATTGTGTATTGTCACATCCACTGGGACAGTGCATCTAATAACACCCACTGTAAATGTTGGAAATGAATATTAAAGTTCAATAATTAGCAGACAAGGATCGGCCGTATTGGCCCAGAAAAAAAATCAGGTCATCACATATGCTGATAAAAATGTGCACATCAACGATTTTTTCAGACTTTGAGTCCAAAATTTAGAAAAACAAGGGCAAATTCAATTTTTATGATGAATTAAAATAAAAGCTGAATTTTAATAACAATTTAAACTAAAAATTATAAGTGTATTTTTTTTAATTAAAAAAACCAACATTTTTGGAAACAAATATACCAGAATTTTCTTCTATGGCGAATCTTACGGTTCGGATGTGATCACATAAAAGTAAACCTGTGCACAAAGAAAACAGTTTGGTGGGGATAGGCATGAATATGACTGTATTTGCTGAATTATCTGATTGTTTAATAAATGTAATTGATTTATTGGCAAATTAACAAAAATTATTTAAGACTGATTTAGACTTAGATGTATAATGGGAAATATTGTGTGTCAATCTTTTCTTGATGGATTTATACTCAATGTAGTAGACAAACCTAAACTGCAGCTCTCTCAGCACCAGCTGATTTGTTCACATGTAAGACATCAAAACAGCCAGTGCTGATGTTCTGTTTTCAAAATTTTGGATCTATGATGTTTTTCATACAGCAGCCTTGTCTGAGAGCAAAAATTGGCAATGCACTCAAGTAGATAAAACACAGCACTTACTGTATATAGTGTGAACATTGCAAAGTGAAATGATGGCAATGCACTCAAGTAGATAAAACACAGCACTTACTGTATATAGTGTGAACATTGCAAAGTGAAATGAAACTGAACTTCAAATCAATGATAAAAATATAAGAGTGATCATGAACAATCATGCTTGATACCCTATATTTGGTAATCCCTTGCTAATTAGGTGACATTTGTTGCAGAGTTAGGTGACATTTGCTTTGTTCTTCAAGTTAGTTGATGACACGTACGCCTTACTGTATAAAGTTAGGTAACATGCTTTGCTTAGTTAGGTGGATGCCAAGATAATAAATTTACGCTATGTTTGCCACTGTAACATTCA